AAAGACCCATTTAGAACCTAATGGTTTACACCCTGGAGGGAGATCAACCAATTCCCACATGTGATTCTGAAGAATATAATCAACTTCACTTTTTATGGCCTCTCGCCACTGAGGTCCCTCCGTTGAGGTTACGGCCTCGTCATAAGTTCGTGGTTCCTTTTCTACCAAATAGGTTAGAATATCGGGTTCATTTTCCATTAAAAATGACAAAGTTCCTTTGTCAAATTCTATCAGATATGTTATGAAGTCAGAACCGAACGTGTTTTCAGTTCGTATTCTTTTACTTTGTCTCAACTCAGTCTCATGTTCGACTTCATCATCTTCATCGGAATTCAACTGATTTGGATCATCGTTATCCATCATCTCAGTATGAGAACGTTTGGACGAACTAGCTTCGTCACTTGACTTGCACGGAAAAATGTGCTCAAAAAACGTTGCATTCCGTGACTCAATGATTGTGTTCTTGTGAATTTCAGGATTATCTAATTTATACACCAAGAACCGGTATGACGTACTACTGTACCCGATGAAGATTCCATCAATTGTTTTTGGACCGATCTTCATCTTCTTCGGTGGTGGTGCAAGTACTTTCGCGAGACACCCCCACACTTTGAGATACTTATAGGAAGGCTTCCTATTATGCCAAAGTTCATACGGAGTTTTGTCAAGTTTCTTACGAGGTATTTTATTTAGTAAATAATTACTTGATAAAAAAGCCCCCCCACATGTTCTGGGGTAATCCAGAGCTAAGTAGCATTGCATTCATCATGTCTTTCAGAGTGCGATTTTTCCGTTCCGCTACTCCGTTAGATTGCGGTGTATACGGTGGGGTTACTTGATGCACTATTCCATGTTGTGCACAAAACTCATTAAGTGGAGCATCATACTCACCACCTCTATCGCTTCTCAATGCTTTGATTTTGCGATTGAGTTGATTTTCCACTTCGTTCTTATATCGAACGAAAGTGTCTAACGCTTCATCTTTACTTTTTAGTAAATAGATATAGCAATATTTCGTGCTATCATCGACGAAGGTAATAAAGTACTTATTACCCCCTCTTGAAGGCGTTGTTCGAAAATCACACAAGTCGGTGTGAACCAACTCTAGAGGTTGAGTATTTCGTTCGATCGTTTGAAACAAACTTCGAGTTGACTTTGCCTCAACACAAGTTTCACACTTGTGAGTTAAGTCAACACTAAACTTAGGAATGTGTTCCATGTTAATTAATTTTCGAATAGATGCATAATTAACATGTCCTAGTCTACCATGCCATAACCTAGAAGACTCACACACATAAGCAACATGATTTTTATTGATCTTTTCATGAACAGTCATTACATTAAGTTTGACAAGCCCATCAGAAATGTAACCTTTCCCAATAAAAATATCTTTCTTTGACAAAATTAGCTTGTCTGTTTCAAACACCATCCGAAATCCGTGTTTGATCAGCAATGACCCTGACACTAAATTCTTGCGAATATCTGGCACATAGAGCACGTCGTTAAGCATTAACTCTTTGCCTGAGGTCATTTTGAGCTTAATCTTGCCCACCCCTTGAACCTCTGATTGGGCCTAGTTGCCCATCCAGACCTTTTCACTGGAGGTCTCTTGGAAGTCGTGAAACATGCTCCTGTTTGAGCAAATATGGCGTGTGGCCCCCGTGTCCACAAACCATTCCCTCGGGTTTGACCCGACCAGATTCACCTCGGTGACAACTGCGCAGAGGTCCAAGTTGTCAAGCTCCGCACACATGGCTTCAGTGGTTTTCTTCTTCCCCTTTTGTGGCTTCTTTGTCCTACAATCTGAGGAACGATGCCCAGTAATGCCACAGTTGTAGCACTTCCCTGCAAATTTTGAAATACCACCCTTAGGACCTATTTTCTTTTTGTCCTTCCCGCCATGTGAAGAGCCCGACGGATGTTCTACAACATTCGCCTTTGCCCCTCCACTTCTTCTAGCAAGCCCCTCCTCTCTGATTCTCAGTCGTGTGAGCAGTTGCTCCAGGAGCAGTTGCTCCGTTCTTTTGAGCTTGAGGTCGGCTTGGAAGTCTTCCCACGACCGGGGAAGTTTGTGGATGATGGCCGCCACTTGGAAGGCCTCGCTGATGCCTACTTTCTCTTCATTGTATTTGTTGAAGATTACCGTAAGCTCCTCAGCCTGGGCGACAAAAGATTTGCTGTCGACCATCTTGTAGTCCAGCATCTTCCCGACGATGAACTTCTTCGTTTCGGCATCTTCAGCTTGATACGTTTTGTTCAAGCTGTTCCAAAGCTCCTTGGCAAGCTTTGCATCGGCATAGACGGGGTACAACGTCTCGGCCAACCCCTCGAGGATAATGTTGATGGCGAGATAATTATTATGGCACCACGCTTGGTTCACCATCGTCACGAGGGGATCGTTGGCTTCATTGGGCTGGGGAGGATCTTGGTGCAGGTACTCAGCAAATCTTAGGACGGTCAAAAGAACGTCATCTTTTGTTGCCACATTTTGAAGTTTGTGCCATTGGACTTCGGTGGCCTCTGGATCGAACTACCCGGCACTGAATTGGCCCCAACTACATTGGGCGTATGGAGGAAAGGTCCATTGGTCGCCCAATGAGGTCCAACGGATGGATTGACCAGTGCGGTGAAACCCGCGTTCGGTCCAAAGTTGACCATCGAGGCCGAAGCCATGGTCGGTCTGAGAAACGGATTCGAATTACCAACGGGGTAATCCGCCGTGGTTTCGAGCCCGGGAATGGGTCGAGGGACCGACCTGAAGATCGAGCTCGGTATCGAGAATGACGTCATGGTGGCAGCCCCCACACTAGACCCGAAGGGCAGCGGTGAGGAAGGCACAACCATGGCGACAGAGGAGGTTTCGACCGGAACTTTGGAACTCACTTCGTTGCTGGTGAAACCCGCGATGCCGAATCCGAACTCTATAAATACTACCTTAAGATTGTTAAATATTACAGCGGGAAAAATAAAATAAAATAAATCCGAAGTTATAAAATGTTCAGATTTTACAACGAAATAAAGAAAAGAAAAGTTGGAGTCTTCGGATGCTTGAACGGATGCAAGAACACGAATGGACGGGTGCTTGAACGGCAAACAGAGACGTCGGACGAAGAGAGGAATGTCGCCGGAGCAGTTTCTGGAAAGAAGGTTAAGGAAAGCGGAGTCTCCGGAGCTTTCCTTGAGGTAGTATTGCCTGCCTCCCGCATTGGAAAATGTGGACAATCTCCTCCCAGGATAAAACCGCTTCGTGCAAGGCCTAGAGCGATAGAACCGTGCACCGACGAACGAGAACGACACAAGTTACTGCCGAAGTATTTGATCGGTAACGGGGAGAAAGAGTTGGACACAGAAAGTACTGGATTTCGAGAGTGTGTTCTTCTCTTGAAGCCAAGCCCTCCTTTTATAGGAGGGAATTTTTGGCTCTTCGCTAGACCGTCGGAGATTATGTAGAGATGGGTGTCTATTCGGTCTCAAGTGCATGCATGCTCACTACAACGGCACTTCGTTAATTACGAAGTGTCCACGCGTGTTTAATCCGATCTCGTAAAAACTGTCCCGCCCCGACGCGACGCGCGCGCGTGTGTCGTGACGTGCCGAGCCAGACAGACGGCGGCGCGCGAGGAGTCCTCTTCTTGTTCCTTTCATAAGCTCAATTAAGTGCCTAAGCTTAAATATGGGAATATGAAAGGTTTAAGAACCGGTGTGGGACAAGAGTATTTACTCTACCCTCGTATTTAACTTTGAGAATTAATTTCTCATTTACCCGAGCACCATTTATGGCATGTCATATGTCAAGACGTTCGTCTTACTTACGAGATTAAACATCCATAATTATTTCGGAAAATAATTTGTGGACCCAATCGAATTTATGTCCGAAAAAATGTCTAATTTACTTAAAATTTCCAACACACATAACTCAAATATCATTGTTTTGAAAGTAGTAAAGTTTTGTAGGATAATCCATATACTTTGTATTTCTCTTTCTTCATATACTTCATCTATCTTATAAAATTATTGAGAGTTTAACACTTTGACCTCACAAAATTTAAGAAAGTGCTTAAACATACTCCATTCATCTGAAAATGTTTTTTCCATTTGACTTTTCACGGTCTTCAAGATTGCACTTTGACCATTGATATCTTTATTTATACAAAGATATATTTGTAGGGATTTCAAGCGCGTAAGATACGAAAAATATTGAGAACACCAGAAAAATGAGAGAACAAACACAAGAAGAGTATATGAGAGAAAAACATTATATTTCCACTATATCAGGACAATATACAAAAAACTCTCCCCTGTTTACAAGGCTAAATTCCGGACACTCATAAACAAACCTTTTTACATTCTATGTCCAGATGTATTTTTCAGAGTAACTAAATACCATTTACTCCCTACACTCACCCACACTCACCAAGGCACCAAGGCCGCTTGGACTTTCCCAGTGATATTCTTGTGTAGAATTCCTCCCATGTTTCTCTCTCTACCTTGGTGGTGTATAAAACCTACACACACAAATACTCCGTAGCTTTTCCGTTTTAAAGGGCAAAGAGAAGCACAATTATTTGCCCCAATCAATTTGTTACACGATAGAGTTCATTCAGATGCATACTTTCACCTTTTTCATAACTTCCCCCATGGAATACTTTCGGCTTTACATTTGTCATGTTCCTCTTTTTTTCCTTTTGTTTTTCTTTTTCTTTCTTTTGAATATTTAATCAATATTTCCCAACAAACTCCATCTTGATTAAATATAATAATAAAAAAACTTTGTAGCTCCATCTTACTTCTCCAATGAGATCACAGTTACTATGAAAGAAACAAATATCCTGGGCGCCATCTCGATCTGCTCCACCGAGATCACCGCTTCTAACCTCAAAGAACAAAAAAAAATCCTCGTGGCTCCACTTTGGTCCAACCACCAAGATCACTACCGCTGATGTTGTAAATACCGTGCAAATATTAAGTATAAATGATCGGAAGGGATGTAGTTGGGAACACCTGTAACCCGGTTTGTTATTAATGAAAGTAGGATTATTACAAAGTACAAGCCGTGCAGGTTAATTCGAACCTGCCTCACAAATGAGGCTTTTAGTCCTATTTATAATAATCTCTAAGTACGTCAAGCACGTCTTTAATCATCGAGCCGGTCAATTCTAGGCCGGTCAGTTTGCATGCCTTCGCCAGACGAAGCCACGTCTTTGATTTCGGACCTTCTCACCCCCGACCGGTCTTTTCCATTTGCCCTAAATGCCTGGGGAAAAAGAATGAAAGTCCAGGTCAAGCCTAGGGAGACCGATGACCTAGCCGCCTGGGAAGCCACCCTCTGGACCTGGGACACCTCCAACCGCGGTCCCTATAACGTTGGGAAGTGGGGGGTCTACCCGGGTCGGGAGACTGGCCCTGAACCAGAGATCATTCTGGCAGAGGCATTCCTAGACGTCATTCCTCTCCGTCGCATGAAAGGGTCCAAAGCCCCAGTTTTTGCGGCCGCCGGTTCCTCGCGCCGGGTGAAGAAGAAGGAGAAAGGTCCAACCCTATTTCTCTTCCTTTATATTTTATCCTGTTTTGTGCTTCCACTCCCTTCTACTAACCGGTCTCTGTTCTATTGTTATAGTGGTGAAGTTCAACTCCACGTTCGCCACCCCCCGCATCGAGGATGTGGAGGAGCCATCAACCGCCCAGCCTTTCAGCCAGCCTTCTAGCCAGCCGCTGATATTGGACAAGCAGCCGGCCCAGTCCCAGCAGGGCACCAGCCAGCCAATTCACTCCGGGGATATCTACATCAACGTAGATACCCTGGAGTTTGACAACATGCTGATGGAGACCGGCCACACGTCAGAGGCTGGTCAGGTCGGTCAACAGGCTGAGGGGGGCGATGCCGAAGAAGGGGCTACCTAGGAGACCCTCCAAAGAAAAAGGCGGAGGACTCAGACTGTGGACCAGCCCGCCCAGTCCTCCGATGCCGACAAAGAGCGCGGCGAGCCCCGGTCCTTCGCTCTGATGGTCCGGTCTGATGAGGAACTCTTCCAAGCCTTCTGCTCTGATTTGCAAGAGGTAACTCCCCAATCTTTTTCATACCTATGCCATGCTATTCCAATAAAAATCATGTTTCTGAAATATTTCCATCTCTTTGAAGCAGGTCGACCGGATCGGCCAGGAATGGTTCACCAGGCTGGTGAAATCCAAGGATGTGGAGAAGGCCCGGCTGGAGGGCATGATGGTGGCCTGCCGGAAGGATGCTCAAGCTGCCCATCAGAAGGCGGAGAAGGCCGAGGAGAAGCTCATGGAGCATTGTGCGGCCTTCCGCAAGCTCTATGCCAAGCATGAAGGGCTGTTGAAGGCCTCCAAAGAGGCCGACGCCCAAGCTCAGGAGAAAATCCAGGAGCTTGAAGGGGAGAAGGCCGAGCTGAAGGAGAAGGCCGCCCAATCCGCCGAGGAGATTGCCCAGCTAAGCGCCGAGCTGGAGAAGGAGCATGCCGAACGAGCCTCTCTTGCTGCCGCCTGGGCGGCCCAAGAGCCATCGGCCAAGGTCATCGATGAAATCGGGACCTTTGGTTTCGAAAGTGGCCAGTATGAAGAACGCCGGGCGCTGTACGACATTCTCCAGAGGCGGATTCAAAGTTTCGAGCCCAAGGCCCTCTCTCTGCCCGAGCTACACGATGAAGCACCGGTCGCGCCCTTCGAAGTGATCTGAGCTCTGAGCCCTTCTTCTTCTCTTTATTTTTTATTTCTATATGTAATGTTCAGCCTCCAGGCATTTGTAAAAGATTTTGATATTAATGTTCTTATTTCCATATTGTGTGCTCAGTGCTTGATTACTTTTCGTGGTTTATGCTTTAAAATAATTTGTTAGTTTAAATTCATCGCTAGGTAGGTTATTCGGCTACAGCCCGGCTGTAGTTATGCCGGTCTAATATAAAATTTTCCCCAGTCTCTTTGGAAGACTGACTAAGTGACCGGGGAGAGATGGGATTCGACCGATCTCTCCCAAACGGTTTTGACCCGAGCAAGACAAATTTACCATGTCCTTTCCAAAGGATGGTTTTCTGCCCGGGTGTAAACAAAGTCAGCTTGTCTCTCATATTGGCTTTTCGCCTGTGTTGAAAGATAGGCCTTGTATTTTTGATTGTTTGACCTAACCAAACCGGGATGTTGTCCCTTTTTGGTTACGTCATTTGATTTTGTGTCAGTACGGATAATTTGACCAGGCTGGCTGGATATAAATTTACGTATAAAATTTTCCCCAGTCTCTTTGGAAGACTAACTAAGTGACCGGGGAGAGATGTGATCCGACCGATCTCTCCCAAATGGTTTTGACCCGAGCGAGACAAATTTACCATGTCCTTTCCGAAAGGATGGTTTTCTGCTCGGGTGTAAACGAAGTCGGCTTGTCTCTCATATTGGCTTTTCGCCTGTGTTGAAAGATAGGCCTTGTATTTTTGATCGTTTGACCCAACCAAACCGTGATGCTCTCCCTTTTTGGTTACGTTATTTGATTTCGTGTCAGTACGAATAATTTGACCAGGCTGGCTGGCTATAATTTTTTTTGTGGATGTCCAATTCGATTGAACATCTACTCGGTTAGACTGCTCTATAACCAATTTCTGACTGGATTTTAAAAACAATACTTCTGAAATAAACAAGTTTTATTTCACAACCGGGAACATATTACACTTCATCTTTAAAACTTGCGCAGGTGGTGAGAGTTCCAATGCTGGTCGACTCGTCCACCCTCCATGGTTTCAAGCTGATAAGTGCCTGGTCGGGTGATCGCCCTTATGCGATATGGTCCTTCCCAGTTGCGCACTAGCTTGCCTCTTTCATTGGGCTTACTGGTATCCCTTCTTCGTAAGACTTCATCGTGCACTTGGAAGTAACGTGGGCCTACCCGGTTATCATGATATCTCTTTACTGATTGGTGATAACCGACCATTTTGACAGCTGCCATCGTTCTCTGCTCCTCCACTAGATTCATTTCAGCCATGTGGCTGGCCTCGTTCTGACCGGCCTGATACACGACCTCTCTAAATGTTGGGAATTCTGCCTCGATTGGCAACCGGGCTTCACATCCATAAGTGAGCACGAATGGTGTGTCCCTGGGTTCTCTTCTCGAAGTCACTTTGTGTGCCCAGATCGTATGAGGTAGTGCTTCCTACCATTTGCGCCCCTCTTCGCCCAACCTCTTCTTTAGCCCGTCCACTATCGTCCGGTTAGCATTTTCAACTTGGCCATTTACTTGGGGATATGCTATTGACGCCTTGTTGTGCCTGATCCCAAAACTGGCCAAATATGCAGTGAACCGGGGATTGCGAAACTGTGGGCCGTTATCGGTCACAATCATCTTTGGTGCCCCAAACCGGGTGATAATGTTCTTCCAAACAAATTTCTCACATTGCCGCACGGTTATGGTGGCCATCGCCTCGGCCTCTATCCACTTTGTGAAGTAATCTATGGCGACCATCACGAACTTCTTCCCGCCTTCCGCAACTGGGAACGCCCCAATAATGTCAATCCAAAACCCCGGGCAAAGGGTATGAAATTAGAGTTTGGCTGGTAGTATGTAGCCGGTCAGCTAGGATGTTTGTAAAAGACCTCGCATGTCCTACATTTTTGCACATACCTTTCACAATCTCTAACGATGGTCGGCCAATAATAGCCCAGCAAGATTATCCTTTGGGCCAGTGTACGGGACATCTGATGGGCAGCACAAACTCCCTCGTGTACCTCGGCTATCACCCGTTCTGCCTCTGGATTGGTGAGACAACGTAGTAGAGGCCCTCCGATAGAACGTTTGTTTAAGTGGCCATCCAAAACTTGAAACCGTGGAGCCCGCAAGACTACCTTTCTGGCCCGCTCTTCGTTGTTCGGTTTCTGACCGGTCATCAAGTATTCCATGAGGTCGTATCTCCACTCATCGTCCGCCTCAATCACTCCTGCAGCTGAGCTCTGACCTTGCTGGACGGCCGCGACCTCCAACCGGTCAGCACTTAGTTGGTCCAATATCTCAATTTTAGCCAACTTTGATACATGCTCCGGACAAGCTTGCATCAACTTGGAAAGCATATCAGCATCAGTGTTTTCTGACCGGGGTATCCTAATCAGAAAGAATTCCTCCAACTCTCTCAAGAGAGCTCGGACCGGGTCACTGTATCGGGCAAGACGTTCTTCTTTTACTTCCATGTCTCCATTAACTTGTCTGACAACCAAGCTTGAATCAGACCGGATCTTCGTTCTCTTGATACCAAGTGCTCGTGCTAATCTGAGTCTGCCGGCCAGTGCCTCATACTCCGCCTCGTTGTTTGTAAGTTTGAAGTTAAAAACCAAGGCATGGTAGATCTTGAACCCTTCCAGAGTAGTAAAGACTATGCCGGCCCCGCATCCCTTCGGTCCAGAAGCTCCATCAAAGGCCATGTCCCACCACAGTTCGACCGTGTGGGTTGGTCCCGCTTCAAGCTCCAGCCCAGGAAGTCGGCCATGGCTTGGCCCTTGATTGCGGTTCGAGGTTTGTAATCGATTTTGAACTGGGTGAGCATCATTGCCCACTTGATCATCCTTCCTGAAGAAGTTGAGTTGCGGAGGACTCGCCCAAGTGGCTGATCGGTCAGTACTTCTACCGCGTGAGCTTGGAACTACGCGGTCAGTTTCTTGGCCGTTATAAAAAGTGCATACGCTGTTTTTTCAATTACAGTGTGTACCGGCTCTCTGCCCCGTTAAGTGCTTTGCTCACATAGTAAATAGGCCTCTGGCCGTCTTCATTTCTTATCAAGACAGAGCTTACAGCATTTTGGGACATGCCCAGATACAAGTACAAAGTTTCACCCGGCTTGGGTTTAGATAAAACTATATTAGAAACTAAAGACTCCTTTAGCTCCTAGAACGCCTCTTCACATTCCCGGTCCCATTAGAAAGTATTGGCCTTCTTCAGGACCTTGAAGAAGGGTAGGGCCCTTTTGGCTGATCGGGACAGAAAATGGCTCAAAGCTGCCAGTCGCCCAGTCAGTCGCTGCACGTCCTTCAGGGAACCGGGCGACCTCATCTCAGTTATCGCCTTTATCTTCTCTAGGTTCGGCTAAATTCCCCGCTTCGTTACCATGAACCCCAAGAACTTGCCGATCTTTACAGCAGAGACACACTTCTTGGGGTTGATGCGCAGGTTATATTTTGCCATGATCTCAAAACATAGCCTCATGCCAGCCGGGTGGTTTGCTGCTCCCGGGCTCTTGATCAACATGTCATCCACATAGGCTTCCATGGACTTACTGAGGAGTGGCTTGAAAAGCCGGTTCACCATCCGTTGATAAGTGGCGCCCGAGTTCTTAAGTAAAAAGGCCATCACCCGGTAGAAATATGTGCCTTCGGGAATTAGGAAAGAAGTTTTTTCCTCATCCTCCCTCGCCATGAAGATCTGATGGTAGCCTTTGAAGGGAAGACTTTCGACACAAGACATAAGCCGTAGTTTTCCACTCCTCTAGACACCAGTCTCCTCAAGTCCTGTTCCTGCACCATACTTCACAAAGCCAGCATTCCGCTTCGTACCTGGTCTCCATGCCATCCTCTTTGTTCTTGAAGTCCCATGTTCGCCTTCTAGCCAAAACTAACCAGTCCTTGGGTTCTAACAATTTATCCTTTTACCACTTACAAATCCCTCCTGCCCAGCGCAACCAAGCTCTGATACCAAAAAATGAGAGAACAAACACAAGAAGAGTATATGAGAGAAAAAAATTATATTTCCACTATATCAGGACAATATACAAAAAACTCTCAAATGTGTACAAGGCTAAATTCCAGACACTCATAAACAAATCTTTTCACATCCTATGTCCGGATGTATTTTTCAGAGTAACTAAATACAATTTACTTCCTACACTCACCCAAACTTGTTGGAACACGGGTTTACGCCTACGTCGTACTAAATCGTGTTCGTTTTATGATATGTTTTGATAATGCCAAACCGCCACGAAAACAAGAGCAAATTGAGCAAATCAAAGGCGAAGAAACACAATGTGATGATGAATTGAAAATGAGAACCGAGAACCGAGAACCAAGAACGAAAACTTAGAAATTAGTTGGGTCGGTCTTAATGTGATCAAGACCGGCAAAAACATCTAAACTTGGCTCTCTAGGCTTATTACATTAAAATACCTTTTTTCATATTCAAAAATGTTTTTCATAAGTTTTAAACAAGCCTAAAACACTTGGTGTTTTCCCAAACCAAAAACCAAGCCATTTGGCGTTCAGCTTTCAAAAACCGCCGTTCGGCATTCGGTTATCGGCGTTGGTTTTTGGCGTCTGAATCAACCAAGTGGTTTTCAACTTTTTATGATTTATTCTTACTTATGGGCATAGTTAAATAGTTCTCCAAAGAAAATACCTTAAAAACCATCTCCCGTTTTTGGTTGTTTGGTAAAAACAATGCGAAATGGCATAAACTTGGCTAGCCGTGGTTTTTACCTAAATGACGTGGTTTTTAAGATGTTTCACTTGATTTATTAGCAAAATGCATTAAAAAAATGTTTTAAACACTTGGTTTTTATTTTGGAGAACTTTGATTTTTGACATCGGCTTACGGCATGACTAACCAGCCATGGGTCTGGCTAAACCAGCCCAACAACTGTTGGAACACACTTTGCACGTTAAACTAAAGTCGTGTTCATTTCTGACAGAATTTGATAATTGCCAAACCGCCGTGGATATGAAGAGTTTCGTTGAATAACTCAAGGCGTGAAGAATGGCTTGGAACAAGACCTAAAAGACTCAAGGACAAGATCAAGAATTGAAGACTTAGTCGAGTCGGTCTTTTGTGATCAAAACCGACAATTTATTCAAGTCTCGGTTCTCAAAAAGTCAAAACAATTTTTACAAACCATAAAACATTTTTTGTGCATCAAAACAGACATTTTTTTGATGACTTCTTTTATTATTAAAATCCCTGGTCCTTGCTCAGAACCAAAACCACCTAAGTCGGCGTTCGGCTTTCGTCGTTCGGTTTTCGGCGTTCGGTTTTTTGGCGCCCGAACCAACTCCGTGGTTTTCAATATTTTAAACCCTGTTTTTATCTCTGAGCATATTTTAAAGGTTCCCGAATAATTATTTTGTAAAAACCATCTTTGTATCTTGGTCAATCGGTCTAACACGTGAAAAACGGTCAAAACCGTACGCACGTGATTTACGACCTTGAGGACTTGGTTTTTACCAAACAAGTCTTGTTTTCACTATTTTATACCATATACAATGTTTTTCAAACTTGGTTTTTACTTTTGGGAACGCTTCGTTTTTGGAC